ATTATAAATAACTTTGTAACGAAAATTTTAAATATTTTCACTTTGCTTTTATCGACTAGAAATCGTAAACTGTTGCTTCAGAAATCTGCTCTGGATATTTTCACTTTGAGAGGCGTTCGAAACTCTTAACAAAGAAGCTACAAACAATATTTTATGTTCTATACTTCAAACAAAATCTTTTATCTGTTTAAGTTGACGTATTCATGCTGTTCTATAATGCATCTGAGCGTGTTGGACAGTCATCTTCTCTACGATCAAGATTTCAATGAGATTTTTCTGAGTGAATTAGATTTCGAAATGATTTTCTTAGCAACCAATACATATTTTTGAAGTAAAAGTCTATTGCAAAAAACACAAAAAGTATTTGATTAATGAAAATCTGATTCAGTAGAGGTATGTCTTTGGAACATAGGTTGTTTTCAGTTCATTAACAACTTGATAGAGCAAAATTTTGACAATACCGATTGATTCATTGATTTTAGTTTGCTCAACGAACGATGATCTTTATTTAAACGAATTCTATTAAACACAATCGTATAATTCCAATGTCCAAATCATCAAAAACAGTTGATCCAAATCAAATATCACGTGATCTATTCACAACATTGACCAATCTCCATCAAGAGATCTTAAAACATGAATCAAACACAAATAATAATCCTATCGATCCAAAAATTCTATCTTGTATTGAATCAGTTTTAACTTCATTAAAATCACTTCGTTATATCGAAAGTCCAAAAACACTTTCTGATATAATTCATACTATATGGAAAATATACATCACTGATTTTCTTTCATTAATTGAATATGTCAATATTCTTGTTAGTGATCAATTTCAACAAATATTTAACTGTGTTATGAAAGTATATGCAACTATTAATTTTCAATCTATCTTTAGAGATGATACACTCTATGCTCGTGATAAATTCTTTCGTATTTTTGAACTCCTATCACTTCCATCGATTATAAATTTTCTTAAAAATCAATCTAACAATGAAATTATGTCACATATAGCTAATATCTTACGTATGTTATTACTTCAAATGCAAAATATTGAAGAAGAAATTTGTTTCAAAAAAGATGATTTACTCAATCAAGAATCAATTATTCAGCTTCTATTTGAATATGTAGATATGAATTTAATTGAGACTAATAATGATATTCAATTAACAATTATTGAAATATTAGAATTTATTTGGACATTAGTCGATAATACTATTCTAATACCACAATTACTCAATACAAATTGTGTTTCATTTACACTCAAATGGATTAATATGTGTGAATTACCATTTGCTATTCAACGAGCTAGTATTCGTCTCTTATATAATATTGCACGACATGAAAAAGGATGTAATGCATTAAATGGAGCTGATGCTCTTCGTTTACTAAAAGAATTCAAACAACGAACTTTAGATACAACTATTAATGACACAACTTACGAAGACATACGTTTACTTTTTTCTATGGCATTAGCATTATTAACAGAACCAAAAGAAAGTAAAAGCGATGCAAAATCATTAGGAAAAGTACTCGATCAACTTATGCAAATGACAGTCAATACGGCACAGAAAAAAAATCATAAATATGGGGATTTTGATATTAGTGAACCATTAGTAGTTTTCATAAAACTTTTCATTCACGATGACATATTACATTATTGCATTAAAGAATCTCAAGTCAAAAATATGAAAGTATCTTCAAAAATCGTTTTTTTCTGTGATTTAGTAATGCAATTTCGAGGTGCTCTTGCCAAAGATGATGAACTCGATCAATTAACTTTAACAGCTTTGATGAACATCATTTGGAGTATTTCATTTCATGACGAATATATTGACGAGCTTAAATCGAATGGAAAATTTCTTATTACTATCAAAAGTCTTGCTAATGACGATGGAGAAGCTTGGGTAGAACAATATGTACCAAAACATATGTCATCAGTGAAAAAAGCTGCCGCTGGTATTTTATGGAATCTCGATGAAAATAATCCAGGTTAGAAAACTAATGCATCAAACTCTGATCTATTTTATTTTGAATTTAGCAAGAACAATTTGTGTAGCGGAGTCGACGCCAATTGTCGCCGATCAGACAAATCGTTCTTCAACAGTCGCAGTTAAAGACATACGAATGCGCGTCATGGTTAGTTATTCACATGCTGATAGTGATTTTTGTCATCAATTGGTAGACGCACTCGGAAAAGGTATATGTAACCTAGTTTGGAGTATAGTATTTCATTTCGAATTCTCATATCTCACAAAAGAAAACTAAAACACTAAGGTGTATTTATTGTATTCTATTAGATCATTTGTTTTTTCTTACAATATAAATAGCTTGACATATGTATACTATTTTGTAGAACATTTTTGAGTAAATAAATGATTGACATCATAGAAAGAATAATATCACTCCTCTTCAATCTGGGAAAGTGTACTGCTCATGGTTAGGCGACACAGTCATCAATATCTAACGAGAGAACCTCTCCAAATGTTAATCGCCGATCGAGCGTATATTTTGTCCATAAGTAAGACTAGCAAAAGCTCGGAAAGATTCGTCCCAATATACTGTTTTTTCAACCTCTGCTAATAGTATTTATATGGAAGGTCAACAATAGAATTTTGTCCATCATGGTCACTAAAATCGACGTTTCTTTCTCAAGATATTGAATTTTCAAAGATAAAGGTCAAAAAATCTAGCTTCTTAGAAACTCAATACTTTCAGAAAAAAGCGTTTATTTTATTAGGACATTCTAATGACCATGAGACCTGTTTATGGACAAAACAATAGTCAACAACATTGACGCTATGTATAAATTAGTAAAAAATAAAATGAGAACATTTTGCATAGTTAGAAACTTCCTAACTGAACAGAATGAAAGCTTCCAAAAAAACAATAGAATAAATGCTATTCCATAAAAATCCATCTATCTTTATTGTTACGGTAATATTTTATGGAAAAATACTTTATATGAACAATCAACTATTCAAATTATTTTCCAGACAATCGATATGAAACATAATTCTTCTCAAAGAAAAATATATATTTATTCATATGATATTTTTCTTGAGGATCTCTTCCGTTATATTGAATTTAGTAGGTTACGTGTATCTCATTTCAAATCTTTCGAAAATGTTTGAACCTATAAGAATTATTAATCATAGAATTTTTCTATCAAAGAAATTTTATTCCATTTGTGTTTTTTTTTGAGTGTGTATGAGTGAAACATTTTTTTTTTTTTTTGTGTCTATTTTAGAAAATCTTTTTGATATATGGGTTGACTTTGCTTATTGTCATACAGAAGATTTATGGGAAGAAATTGGTCAAGCAATTGAAAAATCTGATATAATACTTTTTCTCATGACAAAAGATTATCAAAACAGTAAATCATGTCGTCAAGAAGTGATGTATACGAAAGATTCATTGAAAAAAAAGTTTATACCCGTGTACGTAGCTCGAGATTTCGTTGCTAGTGGTTGGTTAGGTGTACGTATTGTTGGTCCACAATACATTCGTTTTGGTAAAAAACCTTTTGAAGCAACAATCAAAGATCTCATAAAACTTATTTTCGAAGATAAAAGTGAGAAAAACTCAAAAAATAAGGATTCTAAACCTGTTGAAATAAAGCCTAATGAGAATGACAAATCGAATCAAGAATTACTAAAAGATGATCATGAAAAATCTAATCAATCCAATGGTGAGATAACACAAGTATCTGTACGTAATTCTAAATCAATTAAAAAATGGAATTCGAAAGATATTATCGATTGGTTTGATGCTAATAAAATTCGTCATGAATTAAAGGAAATATATGATTTTCAATGTGGTACTGAACTTCTTCTCTATGGTCAGTGTCTTCGACCAGATTGGCAATCTGAATATCTTGATATACGAGAACAATTTTCAAAACGATATAATACACCATTATATCGCAATGAATTCGTTCGTTTAGTCACTTCAATCAATCAATTGGAAGAATTGCAGACAAAACCGGTTTCGAGTACATGTACAATTCTATAATTATTTTTCTATGTTTTCTTTGAAGATGTTCTGACCAAATAATCAATGATCCGTATTTATTGTATAGAAAACTAATGGTAACAAATAGAGATTACAAACAACGAAAATTAGTCAGTAGGGAATTCATTTTCGTACAAATATCTATGTCCAAGTAGATTGAATATTCTGGTTCCTTTCCTTGTATACAAGATGGAGTGAGAAGAAGATAACTAAGTCTGAAAGCCTCAAGAAAATGTAAACAACGGTACGTTTAGATTAAAAGTTGATTTCAACTTAACTTTGTTTAATATAATATAAACATTATTTTAAGTACTTTTTGTCTTAGAGAAACCTTTGTGTACAGAAGATGTTATATCTCATGAAAAAAATATGATTCAAGTCTGAAATTTTCAGGCTATAGCTATTTTCGAAAAGCTATTAGTCTTCTACGACTTCTCTAAGCTGAGGTATGCATTTTTCTATTTTTGCTAGGGTGTAAAGAAAAACGCCTATGACGCCTCGATGAAGTGTTGATGGTCGATAATATTTTTAGCTTTTGATCACTTTACTATACTCTATCGAATGAGATATGCCATAAAGTGGTTCTGTACTATTTCAAGGATTACTTTTAGAAAGTATAGAGATAGAATTTTAGTTTACTTGATCTGTTCCAATCAAAAATTTTTAAATTTCTATTACAATTAACTAAAACAAGAGTTTTTTAATCATTCGACCACATTTTAAGTGAGTATGAACTTAAATATTACATTTCACTTACGATATTCATCGATTTTTTTTTTGAAACATATCAAGTTAATATTCAACATTGTTTTTCATTGACAATATTAGCTGATAAGTTGCTCAAACTTAAACACAAACATTCTTGATCTATCTACTCATTCTGTTTGATAGTTATATTTATTTAATTTAATAAACTTTTACAATAGGTCATTCCGTAAGAATTTATATTTTTATATAATTCGAAATGAGATTTGACTTCAATGTTGTCACGGAGAAAAACACTTTATACTTGGAATTGACCAATCGACGGATTGTAGATTATTTAAATAAACATTCGTCATATTTACTGCTTGCAGTCGAATATAAAGAGTGGCCTCTTCCAGTGCCTTTCGTTTTTGTGTATTCAAAGGTAGAAGTGTATAGAGAGGTAGAAGGCTATAGGTGATTGCATTCGGCTTATCTTTGATACTTTGCATCCATTTCTTAAGTTGAAAAGAATTCAAATTACTATCTCCACCAATTACATACATTGTCGATATACGATATTGCAAATAGTCTTGATTTATTACAGGTACATACAAACTGTTAAATTCACTTGTTGAAATAAACCAATAAGAACGTTTAATTTGATCTTTAATCCATTGTATTGAATTTTTCGTGATTAGACATTGGTTAAAATAATCCTCAGCCCATATCATACCACCAAATTCTGCACTCGTCACATAATGAGTACCATAAGTATCAAAAAATGTTTTCCAAACTTTTTGAAAATCTTCTTTCTTGAAGACTGATGGTAAATCATTTAGGGCCATCTTCGCAACAGAATTTAGTGGTGGAATAGTTAAATTTACAATTGAGAGATTATACCAAAGAACTTTTCGATTTGTCCATGCAAGTTTTAAATGATATTTATATATATTTTGAAGTCGTGTGACAATATCCTTACGTTCGTACGACATACCAAAACCAAGAAATTTTTCCGTGTCTTGTTCATTCATATAGATAGAATTTTCGATAAATTTGTCGTAACTATCAAATATATGAGTGTTGTATGTCGAGTTGAATTCCCGTATTCCCGTAACAGAATATCCATCGGGAATTCGATATGATCTATGACCGTTGAAAACATTCGACCAGAGCTTATTTTGGTTATAAGTCATGTCGAATAGACATTGTTTACTTTGAAGTTCTATGATATCGTATCCACAGCCGACGACATCAAGACCAGAAATAGACATTGATGAGATCAAAGATTGCCTTTCTTTACGGACTACATCAGTAAGTTTTGGTAATCTGCCGGTCCTAAGATAAAAATCTATGGTACTTTGTAGGTGTTCTGCAATACCGATAGGAAAATCAAGTAATAGATTTGACAAAGGAATAAGTGTTCGATTGACAACAACAGGTTGTCTTGCTGTTTGAGATGCCCATGCTATCCAGGTATGATTGTATAGCGTAGAGGATAAGTCTACAGGTGCTGGTCGAAAAAGAAATTTTGTAGCAGAGTTTTTCTTAAATGTTTCTAATTGAACACCACCACTAAATCCCCAACCACCACCAAATGAAATACCTCCAAAGTCTTCACCAATACCAAGGGGAATATCGAAACCAAGATGAAAACCAATTGAAACTTGATTTTCAGTTGAACTTTGACTATTCTGACGTTGCCATTCTTCAGTTAAAAATGTATAATAATGTGCAATACCACCAACAATGACTGATGAAACATAATGAGTTCCAAATGTTGTCACAATTTGATTATAAAATAACTGTTGTTGCTCAGTAGTAGGATTTGATACTAATCTCGAAAGACTTCTGTTAAAGATCGAACTGAACCTGAAAATTTTTATAGAATTAATAGATAAATTTTCTTTGAATTTGAAGTGAAGCAAAAAAAAATATTAGTGACCACTTGACAAATAATTTTTTTTTTGTCACACAAAATTAAACAAAAAAGAATTCATAGTCATTAATATATTGAAAATACGGAATAGTGAGCATAACGTTGTCTATTCCTAAATTTATTTTAATTTATCAAATATAAAACTGATACTCAAAAACCAGAATTAATTTATATTATCATAAACAACTTACTTTAGCATGTAGGCTGGTAACATTTGAATACTATACATTCCCCACCATGTAGTTGACGTAGCCACTGCTGTATATTTTGATTGCATCATTTGATAGGCTTCTCGAATAGTATTATCAATGCTAAGTTCGAGTGTCACTGGAATGTATCCGATCGGAAAAACAATATTTAAATCGAACGAGAACGAAAAATAATACCTGAAATAAAGAATATACATTTTAGTCAGAGTTATTTTTTTTTTTTTGTTTATCGCAGAAACAACGATCATAAAGAAGGGAAATAAATAATTTCGACTTTCGTTCTAGATGGTTCACTAAAAATCTTTATTGATGATTTTTAGATAAAAAGGCTATGCGACTTAATGCATACTATATCCTAGTCATTTGCCAAATGCAACCATTTTATATTTTTTATGGAGAAATATACGTAAAATTCTTACAAAGACGCACATACTGTGAAATGAATTCATTGAAGGTTTTGCTAATAGATTCCACACCTGCGATAGTCATCATTGATATATCGGTTACTTGCACCAGAGAAGGAACGATAAAATTTTGTTTTTGATTACCGACAGTTAATGTATAGGTCTTGCCGTTCGATGCACCCAGATCGAAAAGTCGAAATTTTGATTGATCACTTGATGAGACTTCATTAAGATTCACCATTCTGGCAGCATCAAAACCTGATGCAAGATAGTTTAGTCCTGGCAATTCCTTAGCATAGATAAAGGCCGAAAAATACCAAACTAGTAATACGTATAAGTACTGCATATTATTAATCGGTTATGTAAAAATATCTACAAAAAATATATTAAATATTATTTTTCAATGAATATTTGATTTCATAACGATTCATTCAGCGAAAAATGATTGTGATTTTACAAGTGAATAAGTTTCGATCGAGGGATGAATACACATTTCACTATATCACGATGGATGAGGGTGTGAGTAGGAGTGTGAATATGGGTCAGATGTGAGTTTTTTCTTGTCATCCCCACCAGAGACTGAAACGAGGCGGGAAGCGAATTTGTCGGGTTGGACCGAGGCGGGTTGGGTTGGCAAAACAAATTGAGTTTGGGACGAGACGAGGCGAGGAAGATAAAATCTACTTCGTTTCGGACTCTGATCCCCACCAGCCAGTGACCGACTCGGGTCGGGTCGGGTTCGGTCTAACAGTTGATCGTTTTCGAAGTTTTTATCAGACAAACGGTGATTCCAGATGAGATAATGGTTTCTTTATTTCGAACATTGAGTGAATTTGTATAGATACAGTGAAAAGATTGTTAACCTGTGAAAAAAAGCTCGTTTTTCTTGACAAAAAAATATCTTCAATCTCGGGTTGGGTCTAGTTTTGTTGAACTAAGATCGAGTCGGGTCACGAAAGATTGACCTATGTCGGACATTGCCACCAACACATCCCAATCGGCATACAGAGAATATATCCTTATTATAAATTTTCCTTTGTATAAATTACATAGACAATAAAATGTTCTAAAAACCTAAAATTGATCTTTACTGAACCTTTTTCTGATTAATTAACACTTTATTATATTTTTTTTGTTTTGAGTAAAGTAAATAGAGATATATATGAAAATAATAATGAAAGTATAGTCGTGAATAAGTTTTAATAATAAATAATTATTGTCAATTATTTTATTAGTACTATATCAATATATAGGACATGGACATGAACAACCATCATGAGTTGAAGTGAGTGTACAACCCGAACAAACCAGTACTGGAAAAATCGGTATATTATTATTGTTATTATTTGACTCGATTGCAGAACATCCTGCACCATAAACTTCTGATCCAACAACGACTTTACTGTCTAGAAAATAAAAGAAATTTTCAAAGATAATACTATTTACTTTTTGAAGAAACATTCAACTTTCAAACTAGTATTTCAAGTGAAACTAAGTAATATTGAATCAAGGATGTGTACGTTTTTCATCTATAACTATTAAATGGAATTTTGTCAACTAGAGGTGTAAGCCGAAGGATCAAACAGCGGCGACGGCTTTTATGGTCAATTTGTTTTCCGTAGCGGCAGCGGCTTTGGCAACCAAAAAAAAACGTATTTGCTCTTAAAAATGTGAACGGTGGCGGCGCCTTAGACTATTATCAAAAATCTTCGTTCGTAGCGACGGCGCAGCAGCTGAACTTGCTTTTTCACAGCGGCAACTCTTAAAATTATCTACGATTCCGTGGCGGCGGTCCTGCAGTACGGCTTACACCTCTATTGTCAATACATGAGAAGAATATTCACTTTTCACAATATTGTGAAAGTATTAAAGAAGCTGAAAGTTTCTTTCTAATAAAATTAATTTTGATAGTTGTTTTTTTCGAACTGATACATTTTCTTTGTTTAATAATGCTTACTTTTATAATCGTTGAATACAATATGAAACGATCCGGTAGTATTATCACGTTTATAAGTAAATAAATTTTCGAAACCTGTTAATGTTTCATTTGTTACAATAAATTGTCCTAAATTACATTCATTATTACACACCGATGAAATATTCAATAGAATAGGTCCGACAGTTAGACACATTTGTCCGTCTTGACGAGGAATAAAACCGTCCCATACTGTACGAGGTAGTGTAAAGCCAATAGAAACATCAATTGTTTCAAGACCTAATGAATTTTGATTTTGAGATTCTAATTGATTTTGGTTTTTAGCTACTTGATCTAAGCGATCGGCAATTGCTTTTTGCATGTTTTGCTTAATTTTAGTATCTGTAAGAACATCCCACCAAGGAATATAACGATCAATTTTTAACAATGCTGGATTGGCAGCAATTGTTCGAATCCATGTTGTGTGATCATTTATTGTCGGATTACCTCCTAAACGATGATTAAGTGTCAATTGTCGTCGTTGTGTATATAAACTGTTCGTTGTTTTATTTGATGTTAAATCCGCTGTTAGATAACTATCGAGTATGTTATTACCAATCAATGCTAACATTGATAACATACATTTTTTAAAAACAACTTGTTGTTCAACCATACCACCTGAAATTTAAAATTAAGACGATTAAACTAACTTAAATTATTATTTTGATATCTATAGAATTTATTGTATAAATAAATTTTGAACGCAAAGAAGAGTCTTAAATCAACTTTATTAATAACTATTCGATACTTCGAAGTCGACGTTAATATTCATTTTAAAAATGTAAACTTTTTACATGAATTTTTTTGAAAAAACCTTATTTTTCGAGAGAAAAACTATTGGTGGTATAACCCTTAGAATTCAGAGATGTTCATGGCGGTGCGATAGCGGTAGGTTTTTTTTGGAGAACAATGCATGAATTCGAACAGAAATTCAATGTTCGCAAGTGCAAAACTATGAGATTCGGTTAATCTCATAGTTTTGGTAACCTGAACAATCACAGCTCGTAAAATTCACAACATTATTCCAACAACCATCGCGGTAGCGGCGTAGTTATTTTTGGGAGCGTTGCGGTAGGTGTTCTAGTTTTGTCATCGCGGTTCGTTAGCTTTTTTCTTTTATTGTCGCGGCACGGCGGCGGCGGTCAGTTTTCAACCGCGATGGGCATCTCTGCTAGAATTTTAAACATTTTAATAGAATAGGACTGTGTATTATGAAATCATATAAATTAAGTTAATGTTGTTTCACAAAATAATGTTTTTTTTGCATAATAAATGTTATACGAGCTAGCGCTATAAATGAAACATTCGACAATATTCTACGTTAGCTTATGCTACATTCAGTATTAAAAAACAAAAGATAATGGCATCAGATATTATATATGATTTATTCGACTTACCAATTAATGTTGAAACAGCAATATGAGTACCCCATGTATCCATAAAATCACTATAGATACTTGCATCATATGTTGTTGGTAATAGACTTATAGCTTCTTTAGCATATTCATTTAATGTTAAATTATTCACTTCGAGTCGATACAATCCGATTGGTTGTTGAGTAATAGCTGTTGCTTGTTGTTTAGAAAAAAACTTCAAATTAATATCTAGAACTGATTTTGTGTGACCTAATTCACCACCCAACCAACTACCACTACCACTAGCACGAGTCCACACATCAGCAAGTTGCATTGGAGTAGGATAAATATATGATGTAGGTTTATTATCTCGATTAACATCTACGGGTGTTAAACTTATTTCATTAGGAATAGAAAATGATCGACCTGAGCCTTTCTCATCTTTCCATATTTTCAATTTTGATGGATAAGTTAATTCTAATACAGGTAACATTAGTTTACCAGTACTAATATCAATAGTCATACCAACTCCACGATGTAATTGTGTAATTGTTTTCATGGCTCTTGCCGTAGACTTTACATTCTTATTTGTTCCTGGACAGAATGAACCATTGTAGCCAACAATTGGACATAGTACTTGACGAGCAGCATTTGCATTTAATGCTAGACTTCGTTTCTGACGTTGCGATTTTTCTAAACGTAAATGTCGTTTTTTTTTGTTTAAACCGCAATCTCTTTGTGGCGGTGGATTTAATTCTTTCAATTGAGAAATATATTCTTTTGCATTAGTATCAGCATTTGTTCGAAGATAGGCTAAAGCATCTGCTAAAGCTGTGCGTTGTTGTCCTACAGGTAGTAGAGTATAAATAGGCCTGAGATAATATTGTACTGCTTTTGGATTCGACTTAACAGTAGGTGCCCATTGTTCCCATAATGTTGTATTCATAAATTGATTACCACCAATTAATTTCGATGAAAACATTGAATATTCTCTAAATTGTTGATCTATTGTTGATTGATAAGATGATGATGATTGACTACTTGAAAAGAACCACCAAAACTTATTTGATTCTTCTTTAATCCATGTTTCAGATTTTGTATATAATAAACATTTTTTATACCAAATTTCAGATTGTAGAAGACCACCCATATCTGCACTTTGAACAAAATGCGTACCAAATGTTGAAAAGAATTGATTAAATTTTATTGTATTATTAGAATTGAATGTATTTGGCAATTTTTCTATTGCATCCTGTGCTATACTATTTAATTTTGGATAAGGAAAAGTAATCATAGAAAGTGTATACCATTTTATTTGTAATAGTCGTAATGCAAGATAATAATTTTCTTCATAAAATCGTCGATAAAATGTTTCAATTGATTTATAATTATGACTCGCACCAAATCCTAAAAATCCAAAACTATCTGAATGTGTTGAATAAAATGTACGTTTATAATAATCATCAATTGTTCTAAGTTGAATAGAAAAATTCAATGTTAAAGAATCAGGAGTATCTATAGCATAGAAACCAGTTGGTACTGAATAGATTAATGATATATTGAAAGGATCAATATATTGATTTTCATCATTCATCTTTGATATATCGACTAGACATAATTTACTTTGCATAGATAGAATATCAAAACCACAACCAACAATATCAAGTCCATATATTGATGGTAGATGAACAGACGATAATTTGAAGTTTTTTTTACCATTTAATTGTGCTAATGTAGGTAATACACCATGTTTTTGATAGTAATCAATGGTTTTTTGAAGGTGACTTTGAACTTCAGGATAATCATCTAGTAAATATGTGAGATAAATTAATGTTCGATTAATTACACTTGGACGTTTATCGAGAGCGTGTATCCAAGTAAACCAATCTGATTTTGAACCATTAGACTTTATTGAAGGTTCATAGAAGATGAATGTTTGTGAATCTTCTGATAATGATAAATTTGTTCGACTACGATTTTCACTCGATACTGTATGAGATATGTCTTGTAATGTTTTTGAATAATTATATTGTGAATGAGTAGTTTGATTAATAAATGTATATGTGTTGATTAAACCACCCATGATGACTGATGTGATATAATGAGTACCAAATGTTTCAATAAATTTATTGTATAAAAATTGTTGATCTTCTGTATAAGGATCAGATACACGACTATTCAATATTTGTATACTTTTATTGAACAATGGATCGAAGCTGCAATATAATGAAGACTTTCAGAATAGAGTTTTTTTGTTTGTTTTTGAGATATAATAGAAATCGGATAATACTCAATGTGAGTTAAGTGACTTCTTCGTAGCTCATTTTCAGTAATGTATAAAGTCTCATACTTTTAATCAATTTTCTTTTTAGAAAATTCTCAGTTCAACGTTGTGTATTAGGATAAAAAAAGCTTGTTAGCACAGCCTCTTTGGAGCTGAAATGTGAAACTCATATATCTTCTTTAATTTGATTATACTATTGACAAAATACACAATATTTATATTTTCTAAAAAACAATAGTTCTTTTCTACTGATAATCGATTGTCAGCAAATACTGTCTTTTTTTTATTTTTATACTTCGAATAGAAATTTTTACTTTTTTTTTGCTAGAGTTGCTATGGCCTGTAATGGGGTGGGGGCCGTGAAGCTTCGACTTAAAACTTACACTCACTATTTTCTTCGAAAATATATGTGACTTTCACAAAACGCATAGATGTGCTAACGAAAAATTGTCTTTCCTCAATTAGCATTACAATACTCTTCTAGTATCTTCTATGTTCAGTATGTGTCTGTCTGTTACCGGGTCAAAGGTCAAATAAGGCTATAAGGGAAAGGCCCAAGGGCTATTATATGGTGGTACCTATGGGTTCTCAACGACTCTTATATTGTTGCATCCATAGGCCCTGAAGGGAGTCAAGCAATAAGGAGATAATGCTACAAGGAACATAAGGCTGAGAGCTAATGAACTATAAAAATATGTGCGATATAAGAGTATGAGGCCGTAGGCGTATCTATCTATATATATAATATCGAGTGTCTGTATGACTGTTATTGAATGAAAATTTAAACGTCTGAGGTCATACTTCAAAGAAGAAAACAGCTGTGCAATATGCATAGGGCCTCGCTTGTAATTAATGCTGCTACATATCAGAAATTCGTGATAGTATAAATAATAGTAACAATGCATATTTACATTTCAAACCATATAATATTCCAATTTCGAAAACTTCATCATTCAATCCTTGTCGAGAATAAATAAAACGATAGAAGCTAATATGTGATAAAAAGTTTACTTAAGACAATATTACTACTGTCAACCATTGAGACATTCTTGTTTAAATCGTATATTATCATCTCTTACTTTTCTCAGTTAAAATTTTCTATCCTATTGCAATTAAATATATGATTTATCTTTGCAATTGCTTATTTGAGTATAAAAACGAAATCATTTTGCCAAATGTGAAAGAATATAACCAATCAAAGATTAATTTCAATATTCGAATAAATGTTGTTTTTCTAATTTTGATATGTTAATTTTTTTTTTTCATGTTAATGTTAAACATGAAAAATATTGATGTTTTACTTACTCAAGTAAATATGCTGGAGGTAATTGTATAGAATAAAGACCCCACCATACAGTTGAAATAATAGCAGTTTGTTTTGTTGTATTAATCATCTTTTGAGCTTTATTCAATATTGAATGATATTTCGAACTTATCATTCCTTGTTCACATGTATATGAATATTCAAATGAATATGATTGAAAGTAGCTATCAAATAAAGAGAATTTTTTTATATCTCAAAAGCTATTAATATAAAATATATATATACCTTAAACAGAAATCTTTAAATGTATATGCAACTGTATGAGAATAAGTTTCAATTTTTGAATCAACGTTTGTAACGTGGACATTTAATGGCGTTGAATAAATACGATCAATGCCAAGTACATTGAATGTATAATTGTCACCTTCTGATGTATCACCTAAATCGAATAGTTTAGATGTTGAATTTTTCTCTTGAATATTCAACATTTTTACAGCATCAAAACCGGATTGAATTATATCAAGACCTGGTAGTGGATCTATGGCTATTGCAATGTTCTTCCATAGTAAAACGTATAGAAAAAACAATGATGATAACATTTTACGATTGTAAAATGATGACAAACATATATTTATTGATTTTAAAAATGAAAATAGGTAATTTTCAAACGTTAATATTTTTTTTAGTATATATACATATATAATGTTTTGTTCCCTATAAGAAAAAAATAGATGTTTTTCTCCCATCAAATGTAAATAGTATTTTATTTGATTTCACTTGAATAATATTTATGCAAATATATGACCATACAATTGTAGTAATGAAAATAAATACATTCAAATTAAAGCAATAGACTAATAACGATTAATTATGCTTAGAATCTGTTGTTTGCTTGTACTTGAATAACAAGTAGATGTATTACTCAATTAATCATTTAACGTCTGAAAATTTATCGAAGATACAACATAAAATGAGTCTTTACATTAATAAATATTATCACAATAAAACTTTTGATTTTCACTCAAGACAATTTCCTAAAAATTAAAGTGCGTTTGTTTTAATATTGTTGAATGAATTCTTGATATAAAACGCATTTACATCGAAACTTTTTCATTCTTGTATGAAAAACATTCTTTGAAATTCGAGACTTTCAAACTCATCTTTCGAGATCGTTAACAACATAAAATCGATACAAACGATCAAAATTATGACAACATCACTATCTATCTTAAAAATTGGAAGAAAATCAGCAAATCTGACTAAGACTTATACTGTCAATTTATTTTCATTAAAAAAAATCATTATAAATTGTTTGAAATCTTAGGAGAGATTTCTGTAACTGATCTGTATTAATCTGAAACTAACCTCTGTTGCAAAAGTCTTTAGACAAAATGTTTATTCATTTTTCAGTTGCCTAAACGTCATTGGTGAGAATCAAAAGCAGTTAGCTAAAATCAGATTTTTGTGCTCTTTCCGAATATCTGATCAGAATATTTCACTGACTCAATATTGATTAGGGACAAGCCAAATGTTTGACAGAGTCGAAAATGATGTCTGTACAAAAAAGTCATTCTGCAAATATTTCTTCATCTTTCAGCCGCTAAAAGTATTTGATACGAACCAAAAGTAGATCCTTAGAGTCAGTCTTATCTGCTCTTTTCTGATATGTGTTCAGGATATCTCATTAGCTTAAGATTGGTTAGCTGTAAGTTAATACTTGAAAGAGGCGACGAATGACATCTCGACGAAGAAAACACATGTTTTCTCGCTATTCATTACTTATGGAAGTTGGATTTTGAAGCAGTTCGAAATTTGCAATTTGTAGAGCATTCAATTCTCTATAAAACCATATATGACAATAGGCTTCAACTCAAATGAATAAAAGGTTGTAGACGTTTTTCTGAGAACTGATTGGTACGTAAAATAGAATCCTGCCAAAAAGTCAGTTTTCCAAGATCTTCTATTTATAATACAATAGATTGCATGTATTTGTTTCGAGATAGAAAACCAAACTAAATAGCATAGTTTGTAGAGCAAAATTCGCTCTATAAAATTGGCTGATGAAAATATCTTTCATGTTTTCCGTAGAGTAGATATCGATCAAAATACAAAAATACATTCAATGAAATTCTGTACGAACATCATTTTCGACTCTGTCAAACATTTAGCTTGTCCCTAATCAATATCGAGTCAGTGAAATATTCTGATCAGATATTCGAAAAGAGCACAAAAATCTGATTTTAGCTAACTACTTTTGATTCTCATTAATGACGTTTAGGTGGCTGAAAAATGAATAGACATTTTGTCTAAAGACTTTAGCAACAGAGGTTAATACTAAATAAAGTAACTCCATTGTTATTTTCATAGATCTGTACAGCTTTTATTTTTTGTATAAATATCAAAAGATGAACATTGTCGAAAAGTTTACAAATCAATATTTTCAATCATAACATTAAAATCTTTATCAACAAGAACAAACGAACTCGGTGGTACCAAATGCCAATCTTTTGTTTTATATGTACTTGGTTCACTTGCTACAATAACATGTTTTCCATGCTCATGGGTAGCTCGTACTGATTTCTGTTTAGGTGTTTCTCCATCAGGATGATCAGGAAATTTTCGATTGTAGGTAGGCCCCGCTGTAGTTGAATAATATAAAGAAGCAGGTTCAAAGTCTTCCATCGACAAAAACCTAATCGCAAGCAATTGACAACTGTCTGTCACAGCAAAATTAAGAGAACTATGCAGAAGTGTTTCATCCATATCCTTAGCACTCTCTCGAATCAATGCAAGTATATCTTGCAGAGTCTTAATCATAGCATTCTTGAGATTTTTCATAGGTAATTCACTATCCCAATCATCTCCCAAATATGTAAAGAAAAGTGCAGCAACATGTTCAGTATCTGTTGTTCCAAATATATTTTCATAAGCCTTATGAGATAATTTTTGTAATAGAGCAATCTTAATTTTTGAAAAATTTGCTACTCTTCCATTGTGCATAAATAAATATCTACCGAAAACGAACGGATGATTGTTTGTTTCGACTGCCGGTGATAGACCAGTGGCAGCACGAATATGTGCAAATATACATTTCGATGATGTATGTGCACATAAAGACATCAGATTGAGATCATTGAGTGGTGGACGAGTACTTTTATAGACACATGGTCTATTTACATTATCATTATTGAAGTCAACCGTAGCACCTGTGTAATAACCCAAACCAAATCCATCAACATTTGTTAAATGATTTGGACCATGACTATCAGATGCTATACCTGAACTGAGTTTTTTTCGATAAAGATGAGGATCATAAGTAATATGAAGATTTGGAAGAAAATGTTCATCAATTTGTTTAATAATAGAATGTTTTGGTTTGATAAGAATATCTTCGAGAAGAGTAGGCTCTTCACCAATATAAGCAAACCATCGACACATTATTTTTTCTTTTGTTGTTGTTGTGATGTACATGTGTGTGCTTTTGTTCTTCTCGCTTCGCTTCATTGAATGTATATTTTTAATAGTAATAGTCATTGATGATGCTTTTGTTTGATTATTCACCAGAAAGCAAAATGTGTTCATATGATTATTGAGTATGAAATCGATTTTTGCACTTTTAGGATAAAAGCCAAAAGAGGTTAGAGAGTGTAGAGAGAATGCCTTTTTTGAATTTTCAAAGGTGTTTTGTTTTTGTATTATGTTATCATTGGTTTGACTATCAGTGAAACTGTCTTGGATGATGACAATTTTATCATTTGCTGTTTGAAGCCAACGGAAGAATTCCATGGCATTTTTTGAAAAGAAAACTGCTCTATACACAAAACTTTTTGAAAATATTTTACTCAGAATTCGATCAATGAGAGGCGATGAGCTTGATCCAGTTTATTTAGGCTTCTAATTCCAGTAGTGTTAAATACATTCTTGATTTAGAATGTACTGATATCGAATCTGTTTACACTAATAGTAAGACATTAATGCACTAAAAAAGTATTCAAATAAGATTTTTCTGTTTCGAATTATAATTTAATTTTTTTTTCATTCTTATTGATATAGTCATATAAAGTTTCAAGTGAGAAATATTATTTTAAATTTATGAATATTTTTCTCTTATAATCTTTTGTACAACGTCTGCAGCTATTTTTTTCAGCTTGAAACACTAGATTCAAAAGATATAACTATTATATCCAATCTGATTTTAAAGTTTTTTGTTTAATGGTAACAACTCGAATAGATCATATCTACAAACTTTATAGATTACTTATCTAAAAGTTATACTGAATGAGAGTTGATGTTAATCGAACACTAGTGTATCAAAGTTGTCGATGTAACTAAAAGTGAAATTATATTTGTCGCTTTCTATGACATATGTCGCATATATATGGGTGTGAGTGCAAATATTCTCTTGAACACATTCATATCAACCCACATCCTCGAAAAAATGTCATGGGAAAAGTAGGCTTTTACGAAAACCATGAAACATACTACTTTGCACGTTACTCTTATCTCTATGAATCATTTTAAAAAATTTCTTCTCCAATCATACGCTTCTATCTTACTGTAACTTCTAATAGTATGAGTTAGCCATTCCCTCAGATTACTTCAACTTAAAAAGTCTATTATCATTAGAATTGCTTACAATAAATTATGTTCGAGAGACTTGCTCTCGAATTGCAATTCGATTTTTAACACTTCGCGAGAAGAATACAGTTGTTATATAATTATAGTTATCAAAATTTTTAAACAGCTGTATTTATGAGAATTTGTGTCACTCCTCATTGATCTACTATGTTCTGCTGCATGGAAATTGAGTGAGTTTTCGGGTTAGATATCGTTACCCCAAAATTTAGCGTTGTGTCTGATTTGCTGGCAATGACGATGTTTTATCAATAAAATTATTCTCATTTATTATGAAAGGAAATATTTTTCTAGTCAACATTATATCCATTAAACAATGAAAAGAATCACCATTTTCTAACGTGTTTATTTCGAACTTTGTCTTATGAATCTGATATCAATAAAATATTAAAAATTTCAAGGATTTCACAGAGAAAAATTTTCATAACTCTTATTATTTAGTACCATTTTCGATGAGCTTTCATTTGATATAAAATACATTATTTACTCTATTTGAAATTGCGGTGGTACTTCCTCTCACTGAAATAATCTTATTTCCTACAATTGTAGAGTTTGTACAGATACAATAGAATTAAAATATTTAGTTTAAATTTTGTTAACTTTATTTGTTCATAGTAGCGTAGATTAAAAACTGAAAATTCCAGTAAGATTTCCGAGCATATTCCTATGTCACTGACTACTTTTTGTAACAAAAAAAAAAAATTTTCTTATGCCATAGCATCTAAATTATTTTTTTTTCGCTCAAAATTTCGATCATATCTTTTGAACTCAATTTCAATAAAAAAAAATTGAGAATATATGCATAGACCATCGACGAACGAGTAGCTTGCGACATATAGAATAAAACAGAGTTATATAAACATGATGCTGTGGGAGGGAAAGTTCGAACATGATGCTTAGTCTTAAGAAACCAACATATTATCATTGCGCCAATCCTCCTGCTTCCCCCAGGCAAATTCTTTTCTTTGCAGTGAGATAAAACACTGTATGTCACACGTCCGTTCATTTTTATATTATTAGTTCGAGTACTAGGAATTCAGAGATGGACAAAATCGCACCGCGCCGTTGCTCACGCCTACGCTACACTAGTCTGAGCTTCGATGAGCGCATGCTTAGAGCATCCTGGTATTCGGTGGAGTTTGAGAAACTGATTGGTAGAGCAAAGAGAAAGAGAGATGTGCGTAGCGCCTAGGCGCGGTGCGATTTTGTCCATCTCTGCTAGGAATAATAAATAGTTTTAACAGTATTACTATAGTATATTTTCATTGTGAAGAAAACGATTTCGTTTATTCTTGAAGTTACAGATAGGCAAAATCTGAATTTTTGTAATATATCGGGTTGTGCATAACCTTTTGCTAGGGGGGTAGCGCTATTATTTCAAGTTGAATACCTAATGAATTTTATATCAAATTAAAGAGCGTCGAAAACTGGATTTATCAGTACTAAATAGTAAGAGTTATCAAAATATATTAATGTCGAACTTAC